TTTTTTTTTTTTTTTTGTCTGTAGCTTTGGAGCCTGTCCTGGAACTAGCTCTTGTAGACCAGGCTGGTCTCGAACTCACAGAGATCCTCCTGCCTCTGCCTCCCAAGTGCTGGGATTAAAGGAGTGCGCCACCACCGCCCGGCTCGGTTAGCGTGCTTTTGAGGTCCAATCATGTTAAAGCATGTGTCAGTACTGAAATTACCTGGTGCGAGTGAGAAGGAAACGCAGAACAGGCAACAAACCCGCTTAGGAGTTTATTAAGGGGGTGTGTACAGGCCTGGTGAGGTTGGTGTGCAAAGAGGGGTGGGGGAGGATGGAGACAGCGCTTCCAGCTTTTAAAAGCTGCCTAGCGCCTGTGCACAGGGGGTTGACGTGACTACGTCATACGCAAATGATGGGGCTCACACATGCGTGTAAGGGCTTAGCTGAGTCATGCGTGGATGACGCAGCCATACGTGGCCCCAAAACCCGGAAGTGCCAGCCTTATTGTGGCTGAAATCATAACAAATACTTTCTTCTCCTTCTTGCTCCTCCTCCTTTTTAGTTTATTGAGACAGGGTTTCTCTGTGTAGCCTTGGCTGCCCTACACCTCTCTCTGTAGAGCAGGCTGGCTTCAAACTCAGAGATCCGCCTGCCTCTGCCTTCCAGTCCTGGGATTAAAGATGTGCGCCACCACCGCCCAGCAATACTTTCTTTTTTCATGTAGCTCATAACTGCCTGTAACTCCAGCTCCAGGGGTCCAACACCCCCTTCCAAAAAGGCCCCTCAAGCACCAGCACGCACATGCACACATTTATATGCAGACACACAGACATTGAAAATAAAGTATGTGTATTGAAAATAAATAAATCTTTAAAAATATGCATATAGGAATATGCTCATATATTATGCAAATAAGAGGGTTTAAAGCTTAATTTTACTGACTCTATTTTTATTTTTTCTTAGGCAGTGCTTGACAAGGCCACAAGTCACACACAGACAGTGCTTCAAAAAACCATAGAACAAAAGAGATCTTTGGAGAAGGTATTTGCAAATATAGCATTGATATGCTCAATCTGATAATATTTTTTTACTTTTATCTATTTTTATTTATTTATTTAAATTTATTTATTTATGATCTGATACTATTTAGATATAATTTTTTAATATTTATTTATTATGTATACAATATTCTTTCTGCGTGTATGCCTGCATGACCAGAAGAGGGCACCAGACCTCATTACAGATGGTTGTGAGCCACCATGTGGTTGCTGGGAATTGAACTCAGGACCTTTGGAAGAGCAGGCAATGCTCTTAACCGCTGAGCCATCTCTCCAGCCCCTAGATATAATTTTTTTAGGCTTAGTGTGGTAACAGATGTTTCATTTGTGCTTACTCTCCTGCAAGGAGTTCTGCAGTCTCTGACGGTTTTCCCTTTGGACACTGACATGTCCAATGATGTATTTTTATTTCATGGACATTGGTTTACCTGTATGAGAGTATTGGCTCCCTTGGAACTGGAGTTATAGACAGTTGTGAGCGGCCATGTGGGTGCTGGGAATTGAACCAGGGTCCTCTGCAAGAGCAGCCAGTACTCTTAACCACTGAACCATCTCTCCAGCCCCTGGACACATAAATTTTAAAATAGATTGTCATGCGGGTAAAGTGCGGCCTTTCTGACAATTCAGCACTTTTTATCTTTTTCCTTTTTTGTCCTCTGCCCCAGGCAGGGTCAGCGTGTTTCTCAACACCTCACTGGACATGGAATTAGGATAATCACAGATAATCATTTTCTTACATAAATCGTATTCTCCCCTGATGGGGCCATTTGGGTTAAGACTCCAAGAAGTAAATTTAGTTTCTGGTGTCTACATGGGCAGAAATGGGCCCTGAGAAGTCTGGGCTCACTACAACCAAATTTTGAACATAAATAATTTGAACTTTCTTTGCTGTGTTCAGTGAGCTTTATCAAAGTGTATCTGAGAGCTAAAAAAAAAAAAGTCCATTTGTTGTGTGTTTTTTGTTGTTTT